ATTAGGATGACGTCGGGCTCTAACTTCGCCGCCCACAATTCTCTGAGCAACGCTACGGCCCTCTGCCACTGGTCGCCCTTCTCGCACGCGCTGATCCCAGCGCTGTAGCTGATGACGTCGGGCTCCACCTTCGCCTCCCGCATCTCGCTGAGCAGCAACAAGGCCCGTTCCCACTGCCCGCTTTTCTCACACGCGCTGGCTCCGGCATTGCAGCTGACTAGGGTTGACCTGTGGTCCACCTACCGTCCAAGCAAGCTTGCTTGCTCGGATAAAACAATGCGAGTAACCTCTCGGCACAACGCAACATCTGACGTAACGTAAGCTTGCCTGCGATATGTCACGGCGGGTACAACGCAGCAGGGCCAGCTCATATGCAGCACGGCACGGCGGCCAAGCACGTCATGGTATGGCACCGGGGCAAAGACGCCTGAGCGGAGAGGCCACTCGCTAAGATGGAGAGTGGGCAATAACACAGCATGGCATAACAAGCACTTCGAGAGGACATGCAGGCTGTCGTGACCACAACGTTGTCGCAGTCCTGTGGCTGGTCACCTCTTGCAGGGTGTTTGCTGAAGCTTGCTGAAAATTGCAACCACTTGCTGAACCTTCCTCACTTGTGATCAAGAGATGTGTGGCCTGTAGCTGCTGCTGTGTGTTATGTTGATGTTTACTGTCGTTTGCCACTGATTGCTGCACGTGCATGCTGCTGCCGGCTGTTGCTGCTGGCTGCTGACATGTGCTGCATCTGCTTGCGGATGCTGCGTGCTCCTATTGCTCGCTGCCACGTGCTGCTGCTGCTCGCTACTTTGCTGGTGGCTCTGATGCTGCTGCTAAGGCTGCGACTGGAAGGTCCTGGGGCACAGCTGGAATCCCTCGGGGCCTCCCAGGCCGTTTGGGGGTGTCTTTGGGCATTATTTTTAAGTAGGGCGTGTCCCCCTGCAGGGGGATTTTGGGACGAACAATTAAATACGACATAAATGCCCCCTACATGGGCAAAAATACTAGAAAACATCGTCCCGATACTATTTTTTGACTGTTTTTGAATATTCCTCCTGCAGAGGGACACGCCCGACTTAACACTTTGTCTGTCTGTTCCTCGTCTGGCGGGGGGCATTCCTGGGGGCCCTCCTGGGCTGCCCGGGGGCCGCCTTCGGGCCCTCTGAGGCCGTCTGGGGCGTGTCTTCGAGCCCTCCGGGGCCGTCTCGGGCGCTTGGAGGCCTCGCGGCGCTCTCGTCTCGCCATCCCTCGGCATTTTCCGGTTTCGTGTGTGTGTATTTTTTTGAAGCAAGGTGAGCAACAAATGCTCCTCGACGGTCCTCGCCGGGAGGAAACGCACACGTCCGAGCGATGCCAAGTCTGGGGCCGCCCTGGCGAGGGGTCGTCTTGTGGCCCTCCCGTGCCATCTTGGGGCCCAGGGAAGGCCCCTCGGGGCATTCTCGGGGCCCTCTTGCACCAAGAGGCCCCGCGAAGCCTTCCTGGGCCCGCCTCGGGCGGCAACGCCTGGATACGTGAACCACAAAAAACCATAGAGTTTCCAATCTTTCTTTCGTCTTTGGGCCCGTCTTGAAGCCTCCTGCGGAGCTTCTCGGGCGCGTGTTGGAGCTGCGTGGTGGCGCCTTTGGGCCTTCGTGGCAGCTTTGTCGGTCGTTTTGGAGGCCTCTGGGGGCCCCCATCGCACTGCGAGCGCGAACTCCTGGGCCCCTGGAGGCCTCTGGGCTGCTCGGCCTCCGAGGTGGCGTTGGCAACAAGTGCCGCTCCCGCACGCGCAGGCCCCAGAGTCGTAGAGGTCGTGACGGTGGGCTGCAGCTTCGCCTCCCGCATCTCGCTGAGCAGCGCCAGGGCCTGCTCCCACTGCTCGCCCTTCTCGCACGCGCTGATGCCAGCGCTGTAGCTGACTAGGGCTGACCCGTGGACTACCGTCCACGAATGTCAGAGGATTGAGCGTGCGCTCGTTGCTGCTTATTGCTTCAGGGTGCGCTTCTTGCTAGATGATCCTGACGGCGTCTGGAGCAGCGCTAGCAGCAGCAGCAGCAACAGCAGCAGCAGCAGCAGCAGCAGCAGCAGCAGATCCAGGACCATCGGCAGTAGCAGCAGCAACAGCTGCAGCATCAGCTCCAACAACAACAAAAGCAACGCGGACCTCCTGGGGACTCCCGGGGGTCTTCTCGTCCTCGCCCTCCTCGTCCTCGTCCTCGTCCTCGTCCTCGTCGTCGTCGTCGTTGTCGTCGTCGTCGTCGTCGTCGTCGTCGTCGTCGTGGTGGTGGTCTTCATGGTGGTCGTCGTCGTTGTCGTCGTCGTCGTCGGCGGCGGCGTCGTCGCCACTGTCGTCGTCGTCGTCAGGGGATAGAGAGGCAGGGGGGAGCCAGGGGGGAGCAGGGATGGAGGGGCGGCGGGGTCCAGCAGGCGGAGCAGCACGAGGCGGAGGGAGAGCAACGGCAGCAGCATCAGCAGCAGCAGCAGCAGCAGCAGCAGCAGCAGCAGCAGCAGCAGCAGCAGCAGGGGCAGCAACAGCAGCCGCAGGAACAGGGGGGGCGCGAGCAAGGGGCGGGGAGGAGGAAGGCGAGGGGGAGCGCGCGTTTGGCATGGAGAAAACCGTACCCCACACCTCTTGGGACACGCTCCGTGCGGGAGGGGGGGTCCACGGAAAGGGGGCCTGGGACGTCTGCGGGTGGTCCAAGCAAGGCTTTTTTGCATCCCGTCCCAGGCGGTGCGTGTCCCAAGAGGTGTGGGGTGTAGTTTTTTCCCATCAGGGGCAATGCTCCAGAGCAGGAAGGCCCAGGGCACGCTGGCTGCGCAAAGGTGGATGGGCCGACGTGTCCTGAGGAACCCGCGAAGGGGCCACGCTCTTGGGGTGGGCCACGCTCTTGGGATGGAGGCGGAGGGGGGAAAGGGCGGTCATGCCTGAGAAGTCCTGAAGTGCCGCGTGCTGCAGCAGGCTGTTCCCAGCGGAGGCATCGGGGAAGCGGCGAGGGGGCCCTCCGATACCCGGGAGGGGGTCCTCGTGGGGCTCTGTGGGAGCCTCTGGAAAGCCTCTGGGAACCTCTGGAGAGCTCTTGGGAGCGCCTCTGGAGCCTTTTGGGAGCCTCTGGAGAGCGCCCGGGTGCCTCTTGGGAGCGCCTCTGGGGCCTTCTGGGGGCCTCTCGGAGGCGTCTTGGAGCCTTGCTGGCCGTGGAGGAGCCTTGAGGGGGGGGGAAGCGCTCCGAACTGGACCCTCTTGGGCGTCTCTTAGGGCCGTCTGGGGGGGTTCTTGGGCCGTTTTGGGGGCCCCGGGAACTCGATCGGGGGCCTCTGGGGCCGTCTTGGGGACTCTCTTGGAGGCGCCCCGGGCAGCATGGGCCCGATTTCGGACGCCCGCGGTGCCGTGGTGGGCGTCTTGGGGCGGGCGGGAGGAGCACCACCTGAAACGTCAAAAACCCTCGAGAATATCCATAGTTTTGCGGCCTCCTCGTGGGGGTCCCCTGGGAGCTCCGTGAAGCTCGCGGGGGTCCTCCGAGCCCGTCCTGGGGCCCTCTCGGGCTCGCTGGGGAGCTGCCGGGAGACTCTCGAGGCCTCCGCGTCGGGGCCCTCATGGGCCGTCCCGGGGCTGTCCCGGGCCGAGACGGCGTCACCCCACGGGCGGGGCCCCCGAGGCGCCGCCGCGGGTGACCATCGCTCGCCCTTCTCGCACGCGCAATGCCCGGTATTGTAGTATAGACTAGGGCTGACCCGTGGACTCCGTCCACGACATCTTTCTGGAATGGTTCTCGGAGGAACGGCGCAGATTGTACCGAAAATCTACAAACACGGCGGCGGCTCGGGCGGCGGCAGCGAGACCGCGCCTTCGTGTCCGAGCTCTTGCAGCGCTGCAGCAGCTTGGCCCAGCGCACTGCTCGTTCACCCCCCTCCTATTGAGGACAGTTTCGAAGTATCTCGGGGATGTGCGTCGAAGTCGAAGCCCATCTGAGGCGTCTCAGGAGCGCTCGGGGAAGGGCTCGGGAGGCCATCGGGGAAAGCCACCGAAAGCGCCGGGGAGGCTCGCAAGGATCTACAGGGAGGGCCCAAGAGAGCTTCAAGAAAATTTGAAATCCAGTGAACTCTTAAGAGAAACCGCTGTTGGGTCGGCCATCACCTCCGGGCGCGCCTTGATGGTGCGATCCAGTCGCATCACCGCCAACGGGAGGGTTTGTTCGCCATGTCCCATTCTGTTCGCCCAGAGGGTCTGTGGAGGCCTTCGGGCGAACAGAACGGGACAGGGCAAGGAATGGGGAAGACATGTCCGAATCTCCTGGGCCCCCCAGATGCTCGTCCGAAGAATGCGGAGAGGTCCCAGGGTCATATCAATTGGCTGCTGTCCCAGGGGTCTGGTCTGCTTGGCCCGAAGAGTTTGCTACGGCCCCTGGGGGAACAGAATGGCACAGCATATCGGGCAAAGGGGGGCGGTAGCTGGCCTGTCAGACCCGGCGTTCGTCTTCTGCCCAAGCGGCGCGGGGCCCACGGGCCCCAGGGTTGGCGTCCCGCTGGGATTCCTCTTGTTCGCCCACAGGGTTGGAGGAGGCCTCCAGGCGAACAGAATGGGGCAGGACAATGAATGTGGGAGACTTGTCGCAAGCTCCCAGCCCCCCCAAGTGTGCGCCCGAAGGGTGTGGGGCCGCGTTGGCTCCCTCAAAGGGCCGTCTTGGAGCCGTCTAGGCCCGTCTTGAGGGCGCCGTTTGCCCTGATGGGGCCGTCTTGGTTCGTCGTGGGCCCCTCATGGGCGCGTCCGTAGGCCGTCCTGGGCCCATCGGGGTCCTCGTGGGGCTGTCTTGGAGCCGTCTGGGACCGTGAGGAGGCCGCCTTGGAGTCGTCTTGGGCCCCTCCTGTGCGCCTCCTTGGGCCGTCCTGGGCCCAGCAGGGGCCGTGTTGGCACCCTCTTGGGGCTGTCTTGGAGCCGTCTTGAGCCGTCGCAGCGCGCCTTGGGTTGTGCTGGGTCCGTCTTGGCCCGTCTTGGGGCCTTCCTGGGCGGTTCCTCGGACCCTCCTGGGACTTTCTGGGGCCTCTTGGTGCATCGGACCGCCGAAACGGCGGGAAACGCAAAGGGTGTAACAGTAAACAATGGAAAATTAACGATTTTTGCCAGCTGGGACTCTCTTGCCATCTTGGCCCGTCTTGAGGCCCCGAACGGGCGCGTCCTTGGGCCGTCCTGGGCGCACCCTCCTGGGACCGTCTTGGAATCGTCTTGGGCCGTCTTGAGCGCGCCTTGGGCCGTCCTGGGCCGGTCTGGGGCCGTGTTGGCACCCTCGCGGCGAGGAAGCTCGGAGGCGGGCTCGAGGCCTCTTCGGGGCCATTTTGGAAGCTGTTGGGGCCTCTGTAGGGGCCTCGTTTGGGCTCCTTGGGAGCCTCCTGGGGCCTCTTCGGGGGATTCTTGGCGGCCCCTTGGGGCCTCTTGGGGGCCTGTTTGGGCCTCCTGGCGCCCTCTTGGGGCGGAAGGCTCGGATTTTCGGTCCGTGGTCCCCCTCTTGGCCCCCTCTTGGGCCTGTCTTCGGACCCTCGTGGGCCGTCTTGAGCGTCTCTTGGGTCGTCTTGGGGCCCTCTTGGGCTGTCTTGGGGCGCTCTTGGAAACCTCTTGGGCCGTTCTGGGGCGCTCTTGGAGGCCTCTTGGGCCGTCTTCGAGCGTCGGAAAGCGGAAAAGGCGAGAAGGCCAAAATCCTTCCAAAACCGTCGTAAAGCGGACGATTTTGAGGCCCAAAACCGTCCAAAACCTCCTGAGGCGGTCCCCTCGTCCGCCCCCCTCGCTTCGAAGCAGTTTTTAAGCCCCGTGGCACCTCTTGGGGATCTCTTTTGGGCTCCTGGGGGCCTCTTGGGCCTCCACTGGATTCGCTGCCCTCGGTCGGCAATCGTCGATCCTACGACGACTCTCCCCAACGGAGAAACATCGAAGGCCCTCGGAGCGTCCAACATTGTTCTTTTGTGCCTTCGATATGCCGGTCGCCTCTCGTCCGCTCCCCCCCTCCTGGAAGCAATTCTGAGGCCACTTAGGGCTTCGTGGGGGCCGTTTGGGGATCTCTTGGGGCGTTTTTGCCTGCGATATGCCTGTCGCCTCTCGTCCGCTCCCCCGCTCCTGGAGGGAATTCTGAAGGCACTGAAGGCTTCGTGGGGGCCGTTTCGGAGCCTCTTCGGCCTTCTTTTGGGCCTCCCGGGGGGGCTCTTAGGGCCCTCTCGGGCCGTCTTGGGTGCCTCTTGGGCCGTCTTGGGGCCGTCTGAGACCCGCCTCGGCGCCTCTTGGGCTGTCTTGGGCCGTCTTGGGCCGCTCCTGGGGCCGTCTTGGGTGCCTCTTGGGCCGTCTTGGGCGCCTCCTGGGCCGTCCTGGGGCCGTCCTGGGGCGTCTTGGGACCGTCTGGGGGCCCTCCTGGCCCGTCTTGGGGCTCTCTTGGGGTCCTCTTCGGCCGTCTTGGAGCGGTCGGGGGGACTTCTTGGGCTGTCTTGGAGCGTCGGGAAGCCGAAGAGGCGAGGAGGCCGAAACCATCGAAAAACACAGTAGAAATCGACGATTTCTGTCGCTCGGGGCCCTCTTGGGAGGCCTCTTGGGAAGCCTCTTCGGGCGTCTTGGACGCCTCTTGGGCCGTCTTGGGCCAATCTCGAGCGTCTTGGGCCCCTCGCTGGGCGTGCCGGGGCCCTCCGGGGCCGTCTTGGGGGCCTCTTGGGGCCCCCTTGGCGCCCCCTTGGCGTGTCTTGGGGCCTCCCGGGGCGGCCCGGGGCCAGCCCGGGGCGATTATTGGTTACTTGATCCTGCGCCCTTCTGGTACGCACTGGGCCCTGCAATGTAGTAGAGACTAGGGCTGACCCGTGGACTCCGTCCACGACACCTGGCCGAAAATATTATCGTGGCAGCGGCGGGAATGCTGCCGAAAGGCTATCGACATGGCGGTCAGCCCCTTGG